TATATATATATATATTACTTCTGTTATATATTTACTTCTTTAATTCAGGTTAGTTGTAGTATTTACGTATTCACTGTATTTGTCATTTGAACCAAGAAAATGATCAGATTTATCTGATAAGAATAGTTTCTTAGTTACATCATCCTTTTTTATTGTTTTCCTTTGTGTTTCAGTGATGAGCTTGATACCTTATAATGCTAAAATTCAGGAATTGATTGCTGTGGTAGACTCAGCTCAGATACCCCAGATAAAAAAAAAACAGACAAGCACTATGTTTTATATTTCAGTGATAAAACTGTTCAAATTCTTAGGTCAAATAATAACTTCATTAATAATAATAAAGTTATTCAACTCCTTTTGTCAGATACTGTTTGCATAACAATGATAAAACTATTCAACTTCTTTGGTCAGATACTATTATTTAAACTCTTTACCAGTTACTTAGTTACAGATGACTTTTTTATATGACAAACCATCATGCTTTAAAATATCATTCAAAGAAATTGGCATCAGTTGACAGTCTCTAACATGTGTCATTTATTTTCAATTATCAATACAAGATTAAATCACTTCCTAAGTTTTGGTTACACATAATTTGACAGTTCACTATACTTATTACTGTATACTATAGTTAATCACAATTATGCATATTACATTGGGCTTGAGTCCCTCCTGGAATATTGATGGCTGAAGCTCCTTTACCATCTAGGTTATGATTAAATCTGTCCCCCCAGTTTAATGTATCATATGGACTCATCACTTTTAGTCTGTGGGCTCGTGCATTTTAGTGAAAATGAATTCACACTTTGTATAAACTGAGAAATAGACAAGTGTGCATTAACAAAATATAATGATCGGGGACTATGCACTTATAATGGTTTTATCATTGCAAGTATAATAAAATGACCAGTGGTGTTTTCATTCTATAATTATACACCAGTAAATATTGCCTTGTCAAATGTTCGGTACCTACTTTTTTGTGACTCAGCATAAGTCCCCTCCCCCCAGTGGCTTCCCCCAATGCTTAAAAAATAATAGGATGCCTGCGTTTATTTCCCTATAACTGTATGTCTCTACCCTTGTCGGCAGTTCTTAAGTTTAAATTCAATGACGAGGAACCCACTTTGAGACTAATAATGGTTGGAGACGGCTTGAATGGGTAATGAAGAAAAACTTTAATATAAGTTTAAAATAATAGCAAATGTATATTAAAGTTTTTCTTCATTACCCATTCAAGCCATCTCCAAGCATTATTAGTCTCAAAGTGGGTTCTTCGTCATCGAATTCGAAAATGATGAATGTTATTAATATATTGAAAAAAACATGCATAACTTTTAATTTCTGGTAGAATATCTGTAAAGGTTTTCATTTTGTTAAATTCATTATTTTAGGCCTTTTCCTTTTCACATATAGTTAATTTTCTTTTCTTGTCCTTTACCACTTATTATTCATCTCAACACAAGTCAACGGTGCCCTCGAAGCATATTACAGTATATTTGGGAGACACGTGCAACCCTTCAGTAAAATTTTCTTTCAACAAGTAATACTGTAAGCCTTGAGAACGGATGCAAAGTATGATGTACATTTAAAAAGACTAAGTTTGATGCCAAGTTTAGTGAAATGTATTGATAATATAATTCTGAATGTAACTTTGACCCTGCTGTATGGAAAGATTTAAAGATGTACTATATGTTATATAGACAACTAACTTTTGTTTCGTTTTTATAATATAATTGTATTGTAAATGGTAGACTTATAATCTGAAAATTTGATTTTAAAAAAAATTTATGCAGGAGATCATGATGGAGTGCTAAATCTTCTCCTGATTCCAAGAATTATAGCAAAAGCTGAAATTCTGGCCACACAAGTAAGAGAAAAGGTAAGAGATACTGATAACTATGTATCATTGTATAGAAGAGATGTTTACCAAATAATCCATGGTAGAACGAAAATGTGGTTCTAAAAGTTGCAGAAAATCCTGCCCCCCACAAGTAAAAGTTAGAAAGAACTGTGTCTCATCGTGTAGCAGAAATGTATTAATGTCGTGGTTGTCAAACTACTTGTACTGAAATATGTTTGTGTACATTAAACACCATGTACACAAAGTACTCATCAAATTCTGTGAATCTACAGTTCCTCCCAAGCAGCCTTAAGATAGTTTTTAGAATTAGACTTGTTTCTGTATATTTTTATAGTTAATGAGGTGCTTATACTAGTTTTATTTTATTATAACTATTTCATTGGAAAATATTCCAGTTATTACTATACTTTACAGGTATGAATGAGGGATTTTTAATAAACTGGGGTGTTCTCCAACCAGGTCATGAAACTTCTTGAAAAAATTCACTTTATTAGGTCTAAGGGTACCTTTGTTTGGTAATCCTTTGGAGAGGGGGGATTGCAACCACCCCCCAGATCCACTAGTGTTTTAATCCATGACAGTTTCGTTCGAGCCTTGATATTTATTATGATTTATCGTTATATATTTATTGTACAAAACATTTTAAGTTGTAATGGAAAATGACTGATCTACAGTCAAAATATAAAAACTGTTTCTAATTAACTTTTTAAGACAGTGCACAAATTTTTTTGTTCAAGAACCTTCTTCATATGCTAGCTCATTTGCATATTCTGTAGAGATAGAACCTGCAGAAGTCTCATGACCAAAAAATGTGTGCGCTTTGTTTTACGAAACATAAAGGAATAGCAGTTTTTATATTTATAGAGTGAAGATCAATAAATTTGTATTTCATGACAAGTTGTCTTCTCAAAAAGACACTACATAAATTAAAAGAAATTTTTAGTTGCATTACTTATGGCTCTTCATCTATCATATTAATTATTATTATTTTTATTTGTCTGTTTAATACCGTAGTCCTCCAGTGGCACAGCGGTACATCTGTGGACTTACAACACTAGAACCCGGGTTTTGATACCTGTGGTGGGCAGAGCACAGATAGCCCATTGTGTAGCTTTGTGCTTATTTACAAATTAATACCTTAGTGTAAATAAATGTTAAATTGTCTATCTATTTATGTAAAGAAAACAACTATATATAGTGAAATGTCAAAAACAAACTACAGTTTTTTTTAGGCTTTCCTACATACTGAATGCAAATGAATTATTGACCTTGCAGAAATTAAATTTCATTTCAGTTCCCAGCGCCAGAAGAGATAACGAAAAGTATTGTACTTAAAACTCACCAGGTGGAACAACACAGTTTTGCGAGTCGTTTGTTACATTTGCTTTTTAAATTACGGCAGCTACTCAACCAATACAAGAGGTATGGAAATATGATTTAGAAATTACTCTCTGTTTATATAAAAGGTATGGAAACATTAGTTATAATTGTAGCTTTTCTAATAGTTAGTAACAAGTATTATTCTGGTTCACATGCAGCAATGAGTTTATTTTGCAGTATTTATATTTGCTTCACACAAAAATGATTCTTCTCAGTCAGGTATGAGGTCTTCCAGTAATAATAGTTTATGTTACGGTAGTTGAATACATGATATGTTAGTGCAGGTTTTACACTTGTTAGTGCTGCTTTATTTGTGTATTTTTTTGAGGGTACAGCAATGTTAAAGGTACATTAAATATGTTTGATAAGTTACTGAAATATTCAACTGTACAAATAGATGTAAACCTGCTTTATAAATTAAGGAAGCTTCTCAACAGTACAGACAGTTTGTAAACATGCTATATAAATTGTGGAAGCTATTCAGATCGTACAGACGGGTTGTAAACATGCTAAATAAATTAGGGAAGCTACATACACAGTACAGACGGTTTTTAAGCATCCTATTTCAAAATGATCATAAAAGCTTTGTAAAAATTAAAACACATTTTTGAAAGTTATAGTTTTGTTTCATAGATTGTTGAAGATTAAAGCAAAGAAATTGATGCATTTAAAGCCTACTATAACAACTTTATTGAATTATTTAAAGCCTACTATAACAACTTTATTGAATTATTTAAAGCCTACTATAACAACTTTATTGAATTATTTAAAGCCTACTATAACAACTTTATTGAATTATTTAAAGCCTACTATAACAACTTTATTGAATTATTTAAAGCCTAGTATAACAACTTTATCAAATTATTTAAAGCCTACTATAACAACTTTATTGAATTATTTAAAGCCTACTATAACAACTTTATCGAATTATTTAAAGCCTACTATAACAACTTTATTGAATTATTTTAAGCCTATTATAACAACTTTATTGAATTATTTGTAGTCTGTGGTTGCACCAGGATTTTCAGGAATTATCAACCCTTTTGTACTAGAATGTAAAGTGTTGTTACGTATATAACCGACAGCATCATCAGTAATAAAAGGGTTAAATGAAATAGTTGTTCATCTGTATAATAAACAAGGTTAGGAAAACCCACTCAGATAATCAGGAAAGAAGTGACTGGTTTTGATACTGTTTTTCTCTTGAATTTATTTTGTTCATTGTCGATTCTTTGTAACTTGATACAGTTTCATTTGCACAAAATAATTGATGAATTATTTGTTTTGGTTCCTCCTTTGTTATCCTCATGGATTTAAACCTGTTTTTATATATTTGTTTTGGTCCTCCTTTGTTATCCTCATGGATTTAAACCTGTTTTTATATATTTGTTTTGGTTCCTCCTTTGTTATCCTCATGGATTTAAACCTGTTTTTATATATTTGTTTTGGTTCCTCCTTTGTTATCCTCATGGATTTAAACCTGTTTTTATATATTTGTTTTGGTTCCTCCTTTGTTATCCTCATGGATTTAAATCTGTTTTTATATATTTGTTTAGTTAAACACTGATTATTCTGCTTATCTGTAATTAATGAAAGTTATCACTATCAATCTTATTTCCACACGTTTTTGTAAGTTAGGTGCCTTATTATTCCTTAAGCCATTGTAAAAGTGAAGCGATATATACTCTTACTGGTAATATTTTACATCTGTGCTAACTTTAAGTTATCACGAGCATTCCATTTCCTACATAAAATATTTTTTTATGTGAATATGTCAAAAAATGTCACTTGCTTGAAGAGGTTTTCAGGAATGAGTTGGAAAAGCTTAAAATAAATAAATATATAATGTGGAGTTAGCCCTGAAGTGTAGTTTTATTGGTAGGAATAAAAGTCCCACTCTTCGAAACTTGCATATTTTTCTTTAGTCCAGAGAGACTTGTAAGTCACGATTCTACCTCTCTTATGATATATATATGTAGGCTACTTTATGCAATAACTTTTATTCATTCTCGTTAGTGCTCTAAACAACTGCTCGGTGGACCTTTATATGAAAATTGCAACCCTGTATCCTGAAATGGCTCAACAGGAGAAAGCTATCGACTTTTATGTGGAGTTACTGTGGAAAGATCAAGTAATTATTGTATAGAAATTTTTTTAGAAATATTCACGTATTTGGGAGGAATACTAACACTTAAACACCTAGGTAAAATAGTGAGCTGTATCATTAGTGCCATATTTGTATAGAAATTTATGTATTTTATAAAATGTATGTGTATTTTTCTCATTTTTATTTGGTTCCAAAAACTGGAAAAAAATGGGATCATCATGCAATAATTCAGGTTATTCTATTTCAGGATGTTAGATTTTGATTTTCATTAAAAAATTGTAATGGTGGTTTATTTTGGAGTTGTATAATTTTGTAAGATAATTTTTTATTGTTTTCTTCTGTCTCTAAAGAGTATCCTTAGCATACACTATTAAGTATTTATGCTATAGATTTAAACTTTTTATTGCATGTGTTAAATTTGATGATTGTTTCTCATTGTGTTTTAGCTTGATGAAAACATCCCTTTGGAAACCTTAAAGAAGGCAGTCAGCTACTTTCAGGTATGTTTTGATCATTATATACCTGTATGTGTGTGCATGATTAAGGTTTGGGTTATGTTTAGGGCAACTAGATAGTTTTAATTTTTCATTTTTCTCTAAGTTTTAATAGGTTTGAAAGTAATCTTGAATTTTGTATGATAATGTTGGAAGTAAAATGTCCACAATGAAGAGATAAGGAATATAGAACAGTAAAGAACAACACAATTCATTGCAGTAAATAAAGAGTACACTTGTGGTATGTCTAAAAGAAAGGTTAACTTTTCATTTATTCTGTGAGTGTTGTTCTATCTATATGATGTCTGAGACAAGGGTTAAATTTTCACTTCTGTCTGAGCTTCCAATTTATATAATATCTAAGGCAAGGGTTAGCTTTTCGTTTACTGTCTGAGCCTTCTGTTTACATAATAAATAAACTTAGTATTCCAAACAACTTTTAATTTCAAAGCCTAAGTTCAGGGGGAGGTCCAGTTCAATCTGAACTTTGATCAACATGTGTTATTGGTTTATATTAATTTTGGAGAATTCCACTCCTCATCAGTAACCTTGAACACAAGTTAACCAAAGAGAGTTAAGCTGTATTTCTGTATGTTTGATCCTGTTTACATGATGTTTAACTTAAGGTTAAGTTTTGACATGCTGTCTGAGCTTCATATTCTGAAACAAGGGTTAACTTTTCACTTATTTTCTGAGCTTCGTATTCTGAAACAAGGGTTAACTTTTCACTTATTTTCTGAGCTTTGTATTCTTAGGATGTCTAAACAATAGTAACGTTGCTTGCTGTCAGAGCTCCATATTCTTATACATTTACTGTCTGAACTTTACAGTGCTGTGGTGTGTGAACAAATATTAACTTTCACTAATTTTCTTATCTTGTATTTAAAGATATATTCAAGCAGTAGTTTACATTATATATGTTGTTTAAACTTTACAGAGTCTCTACAGCGTCCACTTGGCTTCAGAAAAAGTAGACTGTACGGCACTGATGGCAGACTCCATGCAACTTATGGGTGCAGCAAGTGATGCCATCTATACTGATGTTTCAGCAATATGTTCCCTTCTTCAGGTTAGCTACTTTTAGAAAATAATACTATGCTTTGAAGCTTCGAGGAAATTAAAAGTGTAAGTCATTCAATATATATTTTGAACCCTAAGATGGTAGTAATTTAACCAATTTTTTTTTCAGTGTGGTAAAACTGCTTCCGTATAAAAGTTAATAAATTAATTTACACTAAGTTTACTGCTTATGTTTAAGATATCGAAGTTTACCTGGTGATAATTAAAGCAGAGAATATTTGCACTGTCGTAAACCTTTCATTGATCTGTAGTTTGTGTTTATATGCAAGAGTTTCAGTTTTCAAAACTTTTTTACATATATTTATGTATATTTCCATATTTTGCTGTGTGTCCCAATTTAGTCTAAAAATTTCTTTATGTGCTTTAGACGAGCCAGAGAGATGGCGATATGGGAGCTTTACTAAAAGAGATGAGAACATCCACAGATGATATCAGACAGTTCATCAAAAAGGTTAGCTTTAAATTGCTTCTTTCTTGGTCAGTGTGTTTGATTATAACAGTATAAATTATCATAAAAAGACTTAAGTTTTTAGGAAACTGTTCATTTGAAACAATCACAAAAGTAGAAACTCGGTGATCTGACCAATTTCTTCATTGTTTAATTGGGAACAGTCAAAAAAAACTTTTCTTTCAGTGTCAGGCTTGTTGGTGACAATAAACATTTTTAGTTTTCAAACTTTGTTTTCAAACGAATGACATCTTCGATTAAATAACGAGCATGAGTGTTCAGTGTTGATTACTTTTAAAAGTATGAAGGACTACATACTCTTATCATTATTCCATGTGTTTTAATTTATAATTATAAAACTGAAAAAGTAACAGTATTTTCTTGGAAACTTTATACAGGGGTTATTGTGAAAGTTGCACCTAAAAATGCTGAGGGCTTTGTAATTATCTTTATTGGCAAGGACAGTGTGAAATATTACAGTGAGATCAGTGTAAATAATGTAATGATAAGTTTTTCAAGAACTTGGAGTTAACGTGTATTCATGTATAACGAATCTTATATCTCAGTTTTTATTTAGAAACTTTAGTGAGACTTCTTTGAAAGTTGGTAAAAATATTTTATTTTTGTAACTCCTTTTCACCCTGGTTCCATTGAATTGACACACCTTTTTGTATTGTTTGATTTATTACGTTGCAAACAAGTTACTGGAAGGAAATAGCTTGAATCTTCAGAATTTTCTACAGATTATGTAATTTATGTCGTATTTTTATATGTGATATTGCATAAATTCACAACTTAGAAAAAAAAAATTTAATAATTTGAAATGCTTATCTTTGTTGTAGATTTCTAATTATTGATGTTTATGTCTTTCTATATTCTTTTAAGAGTTTTCTATAAAGTTTCTATTTTAATCTTTGATGATTCCAAAAAACACCATTTACAGTTTCTTTGTGTGTTTTTACAATCAATGGTTACAATAAAAATAACTTTTTTTTTTTTACAATATCTGAATTATAAGCAAGCGAAATTTTATTTCGTTAATCAGAAGATTTTGGTTTAACATAAGTTTTAAATACATTTTATATTTATTTGTATATTTTATTTTCAAATTTCTTTTCTGATAAAGCCTGATGTAAAAATGGTTAACACGTCTTGATTACGGTTAAGTACAAAATGATTTAGCTAAGCCTACTTCATATAGTTCCATTTCTTTTCCTATCATAATTCAAATGAAGTAGAAAATGATAAAGCAAGATTTTTGTAAGGTTTAAAAAAATCTGGATTGTAATTATTGTGGGTTTTGTCTTATTCTAGCACTGTATCACGAAGTTAAGCCTTTATCATTTTATTCTAATTTCCATTAAAATCCACTAAATTAGAAACCTTATTGACTATGAAATTTGAAAAGTACTTTGTGGCATGTTTAGAGCACTGACCTATGACTTCTGATAAATAGTGAGGTTAAAAAACAGTGACATGTTTAAAACTGATAAAACTACACTTTTTATTGAAGTTACAAGTTCAAGTTGGTGTTATTTTCCTAAAAACTATTATGACTTTCTTCCTAGAGACCAAGAGCATTGTATTATGTTGAAAAATTCAGAAAATATGCTGATGTTTTTATTGGAGCATGCCGAAATAAACTCTAAAACAATTTGCAGTTTATTTGATTTTTTAAGTATAAAATTAGATCAATTTCAACTCTGAAACTTTTTTTTTATTGTGCGGAAGAATGACTACACGTTTATTTACTATAATTGTTTAATTCAATGATACAGTCTTGCTCTCGAGTTAGGACGGTGTTAAAGTGTGAAAATGTGAATTTTTATGAAACGTGTGGACTCTGTTTGTTTTCTTGAAGTGGCGTGACTAGCTTTTATAGCTATTCATCTATGTACTTAATTTTATGTTTTAACTATGACCAGAATAATTACAGGAGTACATGTTGTTTAGGTTAAACGAAGGCTTCCCCAAGAGAAAGGCCTTATAGAGTTACAGTTTCCCGAAGAGGTAGGCAAACTTAACGTTTTTTATCCATAAATATTCCATACAGTTTATTATTTCTCACCCCCCCCCCTCTTTTAAGATTGAAATATTCTGTAAAGAATGATAAATTAGTTCAGAAATGTAAAATAATGAAAGAGACAGTTTACATGTCCACTCACTACATACCTTTTGAATATGCATTAGGTGATAATTATAAATAGATAAATAAGTTTTATAAGATAATAAGTATCTTACTTACTTGCTGATCCCACACAATTAATCTTGGACCTCAGTTTGTGAATGTGTAAGCTCTCTTTTATTTGGAGGCTCTGTTCATCGTTAGCCCTTGCTGAGGTTTTAAAAATATTAGACAACAGTGTCACATTCTCCTAGGGCTAAACTAAGATCCTCTGTTAAGTCAAGTGTGCTAGAACGTGCCCGATTCTGGAGTTCGCAAGCTGAGGTCCGAGATAAGTCGTATAGGATTTGCAAGTAAACTACTTGTAGTCTAATGCATTAGGTGTTTCAGTACCAAAATACTAAATGCAAATAAATAATTTGAGTTATAGTTATTGTATTTTTCAGGGACTGGCTTTCAGAGAGATTTGAGGAGCTCTTTTTATTTTATGGTTTCTTTATATGTCCCGTACACTTCAGAAACATTTTTAATTCTATAGCATAGTTTTTGCTGGAAACTACTTGAATTTTATTTTTTTATAAAAAGTGTTGTGTTGATTAATTAAAGTAAAACATTTCAAATAATTATTACCATTAAGTCATAATCTAAAAGCCTGAACTGGACATTAGGTTGTAAAAACAAACTGCTTAAACACATTTACTGCAACTAGTCAAATGTGTTGGAGTATTTGGGAATGATGCCTCTGGTAACAGGCGTATAGTCTGTGTAAAGCCAGGTGTAAAAGAGTATTATTTTATTCATGGATTGTTTCTTTTCTTCACTGAAATTACACATTTTAGTGAAGAGAAGAAAAAATTAATGATGAATAATTTTATATCTAAGTTATAATTTAAGGTGCAAGAAGATCTAATAGACAGTGGAACCCACCTTTCTCGAGTAATTCATGCTGTTTACCTGCTGCGTGTAGCTGCCATCCAACAAGTTGTCGTCTCTGGTGAAGTCGGTCACATTGAAGCTCAGAAGTTGAAAGAACTTGCTCACGAATCTACAGATCGTGCTTATGGAAAGGAAGATAGTGGGCCTGACTGTTTAAAGTAATTAAAAGATTTTACTGGCGTGTTAACTTTCTTTTATAATTGTATACTTTTTAATCTGACACCAGTCGGTTTATTGATTACTAGATGTTTCTCATAACAGACATGGATAAGAAAGTAAACTGGACAGTGTAAAAGTAAATATGAAACCCAGTATTTCATGAATCTACAGATCGTGCTTACGGAAAGATAGTGGACCTGTCTGTTTAAAGTCGAGTGTTAACTTTCTTTTATTGATTACTACACGTTTCTCATAACAGACATGGATAAGAAAGTAAACTGGACAGTGTAAAAGTAAATATGAAACCCAGTATTTCATGAATCTACAGTTCGTGCTTACGGAAATCTCTCTAAGGCTAATTTCTGTAAGTTTGGAAGGAAAAGTCTGAATGAGCAATTTGAGTGCTTCTCTTGCTTACCTTATTGACAGACTGTTTTATCTCCCTAGGAATTCCATGAACATCGTTGTTGCAGCAGTGAACAAGGTCAGCACTGCAATGCAAGAAGGTGAATTTGACCATAACATCAGCCAGGATCAGAAGGTTTCATTTTCTGTTGTTTTCATTAGTCAGAATATTCATTTAAAAAAATTTGTTGTTTTACAAACATTCTTAGTTTTTCTTTGGCAAAGAAAGTGAATGAGTTAGTTTCTTCCCCAAGTTCTTTAAATTGTGAATTGATTTTTTTTTCTAAAATTTTAAAGTAGTCAAAGTTTTAATGAAAGCTGAAGAATAAAAACTCCTTGTACCTTTCACAAAAGTTTAGATGTAATTTTCTCTTACTTCCTGTATTCGCGGGCGTGTTTTCTTTGCTTCTTAAAGTTCTTCTATAATATCAAAATTGGCCGTATCATCTATCAGTTTGTTATGGAAAAACATGGGGCAGAAATTAACAGAGCTAAGCCAGTATCTCTGACCCGATGCTTCCAGTATCTATCACCCATCTCTTTGTCTGTCTTTATGATCACTGATACTCTTATGTCTTACCTTAACCATAAGTCTTACAAGTTGTTTATACACATTGTTACATTCCCTCTTTCTTGTTCATGTCCACATGTTTTTGAATGGGAAATTTAAATAAAGAGTTACAACTCACTGTGATCGAAGAATGGGAATTTCAAGACATTTTGTCACAGAATGACAGATGATGGAAGAAACATTCAACTTTTAGTGTAAATTTTTAACTTTATATTGCACATTTAGAGTGTATATGAATTCCATTTTACTAAGAAAAAAAAAAACATTAGCTGTTCAAAGAAAGTACATTTTTTATATCTTGTCTGTAAACTGAGAACCTGGTTAGTGGCCAGAAATTTCTTTTTCATAATTTGTTCTTGTTTCCAACAGCCTAGCCCACCCGTTACTGTCCGATCTCAAGCAATTAAAGGAGAGGCTAAAGACCTAGAAGCATATAAATTCAAACTAGAAACTCGAGAAACTGATATTATTGAACTAAAAAAAGCACTCAAAATCAAGGTAATTATTTGTTTTGATGAAGTTGTTAAAGAAAAAATATAAGGGATTTGCATTAATTAACATGAACAACTGTATTTAGTGTTTTTAAGTTTTGTTCAGGTGGATATTTTATTAATAATTTCTCTGTAATTGTGAATAGAGTGAGGAAGTGAGTGAGATGCATGTGAGAAAAGAAATGGCTGAGAAAAAATTGGAACTTGCTTCTCGGGACAGTGATGAGAGGGTGGAGAGAATACAGCGGCAATTGGATGAAACCAAAATGATGCTCAAGAAAAAAGAAAAGTGAGTGATAGTTTTTAACTTAGGAACTTTATGTCCAACAAAAATATTCATTGTATTCAGACTAAGGTTTAAAATTATTCATTGTGTCTAAATCTAAAAATATTCAATGTGTCCAGACTAAGGTTTAAAAATATTCATTGTGTCCAGACTGAGGTTTAAAAATATTCAATGTGTCCAAGCTGATGTTTAAAAAATATTCAATGTGTCGAAACTGATGTTTAAAAAATATTCAATGTGTCGACTGACGTTTAAAAAATATTCAATGTGTCCAGACTGACGTTTAAAAAATATTCAATGTGTCCAGACTGACGTTTAAAAAATATTCAATGTGTCCAGACTGACGTTTAAAAAATATTCAATGTGTCCAGACTGAGGTTTAAGAATACTCATTGTGTCCAGACTAAGGTTTAAAAAATATTCAATGTGTCCAGACTAAGGTTTAAAAAATATTCAATGTGTCCAGACTAAGGTTTAAGAATACTCATTGTGTCCAGACTAAGGTTTAAAAATTATTCATTGTGTCTAAATTTTAAAATATTCAATGTGTCCAGACTAACATAGTAAAATAATTATTGGATACAGACTTAGATTTTAAAAAATTTTAGTTGTTACCAGATTAAAACTTAAGATTTTCAATCTTTCTTGATTGATCTATTTTTATCATGAAATGCTTGGCTGACTAAATATTGTTTAATTAAATGCTAAAACAGCAATATCTTGAAATATCAAAGTATTTATAATGCATAAAGGTGAAATAATATTTAGCAGTATGATGTGTATCGTATGAAATCAAAATGTATTAAAGCGTGTGTATTTATATGAATGAAGATACGCACGCTTGTGAAAGTCTTGTGTACTCCTACATGCATGTCAAGAATTCAGTTATATGCAAGTGTCATGCGATCTTACTATATCTAAATTCTGTGTCATTCGTTGCTACAGGGATTTCGAGGAGACGCTCGACCATCTCCAGGCCGACATTGATGCTTTAGAAACAGAGAGGGGAGAACTGAAGGACAAACTGAAAATGTTGTCCAAGAAAGCACTTCTTGAGGGTCTGACCAAGTCTGCAGGTCTAGCTAGCATTGGTGAGATTTTTCTTGTTACGTAGAGTCATATGTGTTGTATTATTCAGGTAATCTAGCTAGCATAGAAGAGATTTGTGTTGTTACATAGCTTCATGTGTGTTGTATTATTCAGATAATCTAGCTAGCATAGAAGAGATTTGTGATGTTACATAGCTTCATGTGTGTTGTATTATTCAGGTAATCTAGCTAGCATAGAAGAGATTTGTGTTGTTACATAGCTTCACGTGTGTTGTATTATTCAGGTAATCAAGCTAGCATGGATGAGATTTGTGTTACATAGCTTCATGTGTGTTGTATTATTCAGATAATCTAGCTAGCATGGATGAGATTTGTGTTGTTACATAGCTTCATGTGTGTTTTATTATTCAGATAGTCTAGCTAGAATGAATGAGATTTGTGTCGTTACGTAGCTTCACATGTGTTGTATTATTCAGACAATCTAGCTAGCATGGATGAGATTTGTGTTGTTACATAGCTTCATGTGTGTTGTATTATTCAGATAGTCTAGCTAGCATGGATGAGATTTGTGTTGTTACATAGCTTCATGTGTGTTGTATTATTTAGGTAATCTAGCTAGAATGAATGAGATTTGTGTTACGTAGCTTCATGTGTGTTGTATTATTCAGATAATCTAGCTAGCATGGATGAGATTTGTGTTGTTACATAGCTTCATGTGTGTTGTATTATTCAGATAATCTAGCTAGAATGAAAGAGATTTGTGTTGTTACATAGCTTCATGTGTGTTGTATTATTCAGATAATTTTTTAACAAGTAAGTTTCTTAATGCTAATTTTGTTCTTTTATATGATAGTAATTTTGTACAGTATTATAGACACTAATTGTTTGGGCAGAGGTTTTGTAGAACTGCATTAAAGAATTAGTAATGATAATCTCTATTGGAATATAAGTTCTAAAAATTTCGAAACAGTTATCCTAATTTTAGAATTTTACAAGAATTAAGCTATAAAGAATAAAACTATCAAACCATGGAGGTAAGGATTATCTTATGGGTTAATCTCTTATCTCTCAAAAAAAGAGTTGGAGAAGATCTCGTAGAAGTTCACAAGATTAACCAGGGGATTTATAGGATAATAGCCTTTGGTTTCTTAGTGCTGTATGTTGGAGACAAGAGGACACAAGTTTTTAGATTTGAAAAATAGGCTAGGATCCAGTTAAAACAGTTTTAATTTTATAACAGGGTGATTGGTTTATGGGAATTAGTTGCCATTGGCAGTAGCGAAGTCCAGCATTTTGAGTTGTCAGTTGGATAGAATTTTGTTGAAACTGCGTTAATGCTGCCTCTTTCCGACTCAAAAATAAGCTATCCATATCTTCTGCCAGGCTTTATCAAGGCATCTTTTGGATGTCTGCACAGAATATGACTCCACTATGCACTTGACACTGTTCCACACATCAGTTACTCTGTTTACAAAATTTTGAGAGAGGAATTGATAATATCTCAAAAAATAAAAAGTGAGTTTAAAGTTTTGTTTTTATCAAGAGTGGGTGTGCAAGGACAGAACAGCCTGGATGGATCAAATGGTCCATTTTTGCTATTAGTTGTATTTTATGTTATTGTTGTTGTTGTTTTCTCGCTTAAAGTATTGAATCCTAGAAATCATTGTTTTACTATTTTTGTAGTGTCATCTCCCACAATTCCCACTTCTCCTGGAACAGCTCCACCTGGTGGCACTGCTGTCAGTGAATCTCCTATGATGGTCCAGCAGATCCAAGACTTGCGAACTGCTTTAAAGCACGTGAGGAATGAAAACATCAGACTTCAGACTAAGTTTATGCAGGTAATTTGATAAACTTGGCAAATAGTTAACAAAACTCTCTTCTGGACACCTTTTTTTTATTGGTGTTTATTTCTTTGTACGTATATTGACAAGGCATACAACTCTGCTTAACCCTGTCGCTATAGGACATGGGTCAAAGGCCATGTCATTGTGTTTGTTGACTTGCATTCAAAATTTTATTGAACTACTATTTTATGAATTTATATCAATATATTTTGGTATCAAACAGTAGATTATAATTGAAATTTTAGTATTCTACATTATTAAATTTCTTAATTGTAAAGTAATTATTAAAAAAACACTTAAACATTGATTTTTGTGTGTCACATGGTATGTTGAATTCAGCACTGGTTCAAATTAGATGTTTGTGATGTCAAAATACAAAATCTTTAGTTTTGTATGAATTAGGAACTCAAATTACCGATATCAACAAGCTAGAATGTAAAATAAGAACCTCCTATCTTTTCTATTTGCTGAGATATCGATCAGTGGCTCCACTCACCTCTTTCCATTTTTTTAAACAGTCCCTTATATACACTTACTTGTGTATGTGACATGTGAATAACCAATCAAAAGTTCAAAATGTCCCTTTAGTGGCTTTCTCAGTCATTTTTAAGTGTTAG